AACTCAACCGGGATCTAAGAAGAAGTGACGGTCGTGCCATGCTTTCGTGTTTTCCAATTGTGGTAGCATGGGAAGCTTGGCGAGAAGGCTGGCATAGTGGATTCGAGTGGCGATGTTCTTCTTGAAGCGGGATCGGGCACGAGCAATCCCTAGATCTAAACGCAGAGCTTTTCCCACACAAGCTCTGTTGTCAACCTCTTGAAGTATGAGCTCATCTGTGGAGCAAGTTGAACTAAATCCCACCCACTTCGTAACACAGTGTAGCGGCCTCAGAGACGGGTGCTCAAACTCGAAGATTGAAGAAGGGACTTGAGAATCAAGCCCGTGGACCTACTCCTTTGAAATATCATCAACGTCTCGCTAAGGATTATCATCCTCTTCTTCAGCCTCACACATTTGCTTCAATGTACGGGCTCGAGTATCAAGCCTAAAATGGGGGTCTTCGACTGGTGCCTCAATTGTATCGGTATGTGCTGTAAGGGTCTCCATCTTCGTGCTCAGTCTAGCACATCCGAGCTCAATGTCCACATCTCGAGTGGTCAGGGCAAATAAACGAGTAAGGATGAGGTCGAGCTTTTCATCGTATGACAAAACAGCCTCCCGAGATTCTTCTCTATGTATAGACTCGCATTGAGTGGCGGGATCGGGAGTGACACTGTCAACTCGATCCTTTAAAGCTTGCACGTGCTCCACAAGTTCCTCGATTCTTGACTCAAGGTTGCTCTTACGGGTCGCCTGGGATGCCAAAAGAGTGAGGACCTGGTCAAGCTTGGCATTGTACTCTGAGGAATCCTCGAGGGACTCACATGACTGCTCAACAGGCCTAGAATCCCACTGTTTCTCGTAAGGATCTGACTAAGTCTGGCCATAGTCCCGGGAATCGTAGAATGGAGGTGATTGGGCACACTGGCTGCGGTTTCGTCTTCCTGAGCTAACCGGGATGTTGCAAGTTCATAAATACGGTCGAGCTTCTCATTGAATGCGTGGGACTCATAATATTGCTCGACCGGGAAGGGGTCCCGGTATTGCTCGGAAGAGTATGGGTATGAACTGAATTTGGTACTCGGTGTGGTAGCTCGGCTCGTTAACCCAAGGTTGGGTGTGC